TCATCGATTTGATGTTATGCGGTATCAATTATGACTTATGAGAACTAGTTATTTAAGTCGCCTTATTGCTTATTGCTCTCTTTTTCGAAGTTAGAGAATCTCCGAAAGAGAAATCGGTCTTGCACGGTAAAAACGATATGGATATAATAACCAGAAATTGACCATGCGCATATCGGTTTGACCCCGGCGTGGTTTTTTTTTGTGTGTAAAGAAAATAATCAATTAAATGGAGTTTTGCATTAAATTTTGTCCAAAACAATGAATAGCTGTAAATTGTGAATTTCAATTTTGTTTTAGTAATATTAAATTATTTATTATTTATTTGAGTAGTTTAGTTAAGCTTCAGAGGTTTCAGATCTAAGAATTGTCTTTTAAAGACATTTTCGGAAGACCCAGGCAATCTATATTGCTTCAGCTTAGCCGTATTGGCCAGCAGCAAGCGATTGAGTTGGCTTGCGGCGGGCCAATTAGCCGTTTCGGTCAGCTGCACTCACTTACCACATTGCAGCTCATCGTTATCACAGTCCCAGCGGCCATCGCAGAAGCGGGACAACTCCAGGCAGTCGCCGTTGCGGCACTGGCCCTCGAAGGCGCGGCACTTGGGCGTAGCGCCATTCGGACCTGATCAAAAGGGAAATAAGGCGATGGGTGGGGTCAGTGGGTTGGTGGGTGGCGTTGCCAAGGCCCGCGGCTTACTTACAGTTCAGTTCGTCGGATGTGTCGCCCTTGCCGCAGTCGAACTCCCCGTCGCAGAGCCAATTGTTTGGGATGCAGTGGCGGCTAACCCCGCACCGAAACTGTCCCTCGTTGCACTTGGGCGCTCCGACTGGAAAGGAGAACGGAACAGAACAGAACCAGAACTGAGTACACTCTACACTCCACTCCACTCCACTCCTCCCGTACAATAACAATAACCGAAATGAAGATTTATGGTGGGGTTTGTTAGTGGTCTTGGGGCTGGTTCGCTGGTTTGTTGGTTTGTTGGTTCGCTTTTCGGCCAACAAAAAGTTGCTTCTGCTGTTGTTCGTACAAATCGCTGAATTATTTCGCGAGATATCGTAAATAACACGCAAACAAGGGCAGTCGTGGCCAACTTTCGGCAGATATAAAAGTTTGAACTTCCACTTTAAGTGGAAAATCCTAGAAATAACTGTGTAATCCTGGCACTTATAATTTGAAAGGATTGTTGGGGGGAAAAAATTGAGAGTGTCATCAATATGGTTATCAGGTTTAAGGGAAAATTTATATTCCTAAAGAATTAAGAAAATATTGAGCCCCATGAACTTTTCAAACTATAAACTGTTATTTTGGGAAATTCAAATTTGAAGGTATTTTGTACCCTTATCTGTAAATAATACATAGATTTTTCCCTCGGAATACATTCATTTTTAAAGGAAACAAATTGGGTTGGCGACCATCTGGTACGCAGCTTTGTAATATGGACTAAAACCCCTAGTTTCCCTCTACTCCTTCTCCTCTTCATGGTCATTACCCAATTAGCTCGACTTTTATTAAAGTGAATGCGTTCTATTCTCATTTTAGGGGGTGACAATGGCCAACCCTTGAAAGGCCACGAAACAAAAAATAGAGCTGTGACAAATACGCTTGGCTAAATGGAACGTTAATTTTTTGAGTTGACTTTGCTTCCAGTTAGTTGAACTCCCCGCGGCCCTTGAAAATGTTTAACAATTGGCCGGCAACATCATTTTTGACCATTTTCGAGGGCCAGAGTTGATTAAATAAATGCCGGGATCCAGTTTGCATCACTCCCTTCTCCATTTTGGCGATGGTCAGCGCATCCCTCGACACCGACTCCACGGCTCCCTTGACAGAATTTCTGGCCCCGGTTTCGTTTTCGACCCGTTTACTCCGTGCTCTTCGCGTTCAGGGCGAAAATAAAAAATGTAAACTTTACTCTGGACCCCGTGACTGCATGCCCTTGGGCTTATTACGTATTATATCCGTGTTGCCTTCCGCCAGCGCCATGCAAATTGCCACGCGAATACGGGAATATGGGAGTTCAGGAATACGGAAGCACGGCAGACGGAGGAGACATGGACACGTCCAATGCTTGTCTCTGGAGTTTAACCTCTTGGCAAGCAAAATATTTTTGGCCGTTCCCATGTGTCGCCAATGTGGCTTTTATGGTTATAGTCGCGCATGTCGGTCGGATGGCGCTCCATGTGCCCCAGCCATTGGAGTATCCCACGGATCACCCATGCCACCCAGGCGCTGTCAAGGCATTGTCATTGCTGCCTTTGATTTGGAACCTCCATTGCGGGGAGAATACAACGCGTTATTTGAATTCTTCTTTGCACATTTTCCTTTTATTTGTGTCAAACAATTTGCATCTCTGAAATGCTCACAAGGAGCACAAATGTATGACTCTAGGAAAACAGGAAAATATTATAATATTGCCCGTAATGTCTGCTCTTCCCATGCACATTCCATTTCCAGGGAAATGAGAAAAGAGACATCGTAAAAACTGATACACTCGAAAATGGTAAATAAATAAATATGAGCAAAGCAAAAATGGTGAGAAAAGTTAAAGATTATGTGAAGAGATATAGAGAAAAAGAAAGAAAAGTTATTCGTCTATAATCTTTTGTATTTTTGAAAACGTTCTATTTTTAAATTACAAGTTTAAGTAAAGTTCACATGAATTTGCATTTTAAATGTTCCTTGGTAGTTCTCTTCCCCCACCAAAAACCTCCCTCCAAAGTGGCAACTAAAATATTGCCAAAGCTCAAATATTCACAGTTTTTAAATCCCGAGAGTCCATTTAAGTCAAGCCTCATTTAAAAGTTGCGTATAAATTTGAATAAAATTTATATGGAGTGGAGATCTGAGGAAACTTTTTTGTCGCTAGTGTAACGAGGCCAGTTTAAATGCAATATATCAAGAGGCTTATATATATGACAACACTTTATAAACTTTGTATGTGTGCCTCGGTTTAATTGAAATTGCGCGAACGGAGAGAGAGGCCAGTACATAAGGCGAATGGGGTGGAAGTTGGGCGAATGTAGATGACAACGATGTGCCAGGCACATTTATTATAATCTGTTGCATTAATATTTGCCGACAATTTGTCGTCTGAGTTGTCGTTCTCGTTCTCTCTCCGGCTGCAGTGCCATAAAAATTAAATTAAAAATGCCAGAAGAACTCTCCGGGCCAGCAGCAATTGTTGCAGTTCGCTGTTGTCATTGAGCGACACAAAAAAAAAAAGATAAAAATGTCTACACATTAATTTTAGTCTTGTGGCTTTCTCCACTTATCAGCACTCGAAAAAATTAAGGACAAACGCTTAAATTTCCCACTGACAGTCGACCAGAGTTGGCTTTTAAGGTCCATGGCAGGGCTTTCATTTAACGGATTTGTCGGGCCAAAAATGGTTCGACAACTAATTGCATTTGCTGCGGACAGCAGGTGAATGGGCCCGGTACTTTGGGCCATGTATTTGCGGTGAATTTTTAGGCCCGCCCACCTGTCATTAGGACGGACAGGACACACAAGAGAATGGCACAAAAAGCGTTCCGACCAAACAGTCAAACCAATAATAAAGCAATCACCGCCTGCTAATGTCCCCAGCGGGGAGTTTCGAGGACCGCTCTTGTGGATCCGAGGGATTCCGCCCGGACTTACACGGATCGAGGGACATATTGAATACTCACCGCACTCGCTGCCCTCATCGGACATGTCCGGACAATCGGCCTTGGAGTCGCATTTCCATCGCATCGGTATGCAGAATCCATCGTTGCATGTGAAGTACGAGGCTGGGCAGGGACCTGCAATGGGATAGATGACGGAATAATGGTCACTCAGGGCGATAAGGAAAGAGGAAACGAGGAAATGGAGGCAGCCATTCAATCATTTGCCTCTCTGACAAGCTAGAATTTTAATGAATGTAAGGAGGTGTGTGGAATCGAAGCAATTATGGTAATCACTAAAAGTTCTATTGTTGCCAAAGAGCTGTCTTTTAAATTGATATGGTTGAGGCTTTCACTTTAGCAGCCATTAGCCGATTAATTAAAAGAGCTTAAGATACATAAGTTGGACCCTTTTATACTATATACTTAAAATAGTAATAAAAAAATACTTTAAAATAATAGTAAGGTAAATAAACAAATAGATATACCCAAAAAAAAACCTCATATAAACCGATGATCAATTTGATATTATGCGGAATCAAATTTGATTTGCAGCATTTTAATTTGATATGCTCGAAATGTAAGCAACATTCCAGTTGGAATTTCTCCTCACACTCATGTAACTTTAAGCGCAGAGATGATTTATAAATTTATAAATACCAGAAATTTATCATGCGCATATCGATTTGATCCTGCCGCGTTTTTTTGCGTGTACTAAAACCAAAAATTTTAACAAATTTTCCATAATTTCGAAGAACAGTTGCTATCTTTGATTATTCCGCATTATTCTAATCGAGTTCACAATCAACGTTCGCTCACATAAATTATTCCCGAATAATAATATTTTCAATCACTTGATCCACAGCTGTTACCAATAGGTTGCCAAATTATTTTTCCATTTAATATGCAGAGTGGAGACGTGTTAACGCCACCTTACCAACCCACTAACCACCCACCCACCGAAAAGCCTGATGCTGTTCCATTCTCTTCCCTGAAAATGCCAGATAATTTCAATGTTTATGCAGTTGTTGTAGCCCCAGTACGTGCCTACAATTAAACATTAACAACGGAGCCACATTGTTGGAAGCCAAATGCCGGATTACGTGACTCAGGAACGCTGCATCATTAGCCTGGTCTCGAAGCTGTTTCAAACATTTCGTAAACAATAAAAAACTAATTTAAATTTGCTTAGTGCTTCCAATAAGAGGGTGTCGGATGTGTTTCGTTTCGAGCTTCCTGAAAGCAGCATTTTCGGAACCATAAGACCCACTTTCCAAAATCAAACAAAGACCCGTTTACACAGCCGCCGAAAAGCTGAACTTTGAGTCCCCATAAAAGCCAAGGTTTCGGGATAGTGCAGCAACATAACGCATCCAGCAGTCATGTCATTGAAGTGGCTCTTGTTCGTTGCCCTTGTGGCACTGCTCAGCATTGGAACTGGCACCCTGGCCAAGCCTCGAAGGACCACCCTCCAGGCCAGACCCGGTCCGGAGCAGCTGAGTCGTCTGCAGCGCCTGAATGCCAGGTATTATGCCGTTCAGGAGGACGACGAGGATGGCGATGACATACTGGAGCACGAAGAGGATCTAGCCAACGATGGGGATGGCGAAGAGGAGGAGGATGGGGACGAAACCAGGGACGGTGAAGAGGAGGATGAAGACGAGGAGACCAAGGCTGAAGAGGAGAAGAAAAAAGTGGATTCGAAAAAGCTGACCGCCAACTCTACTCCCACCAAGACAAAGACCGAAGTGGCGGAAGAGGAGGAGCCCAACGATGAACTCCAGGATCTCGAGGGTGCCGAGGACGAGGCCGAGGAGGAACTGGAACAGGAAATCGAACTGCCCCGTGCTGAGGCACGTAATCGCCGGCGAGGTGGCAGGCGGAACGGAAGGGGCGGACGCAAGGGGCGTGGCCGCAAGAACCGCAGGCGGGGAAATCGCCGGTGCGGCGGCAAGGGAAAGCGCGGTCGTCGCGGCCAACGCAGACGCTCCCCGTCAAAGCGCAGCGGCAACAAGCGGCGAACGGGCTCGAAGAGCAGACGCCAGGGCCAGAAGAACAAAGCAGCCGCCAGCAAGCCGACTTCAGCGCCATCCACAAAGGTGGCCTAAAGCGCCAAACACTCCCCGAATCTGAATGCAGCTTTGCAACTCATTTAAACAGCAGCCAAACTAATAAAAAATAAACAAAACCAACATACTTTGCATATTTTTTTCTTTCCCTGCTACATTACATTCATCTTAATGGCATTTAAATATTATAAAAAAAAAGAGATGGTTCCCTCCTTATTTAAAACAGACTGACTTGAAAATGTCCTTCTAGTCGACTTCTATTATTTAAATGTGCTTACTTTAGACAAGAAGGATAGATAAACTGTCAGTTCAAGCACATACCATTTTAACAGAATTAAATGTTGTTCCTTGGAAATGGTAGAAAATAAGATATACTTATAATTTACCAGAAAATGCTAGTGGACATAATGTAAGAAGCTTAAAAAAAATAATGAGCTTTTTTTGAAAATACTCCTAATATTCAATAAATAATGCCTGCTTCATATATTTACGAAACAAGATCAACCCTCTGTGCAGACATATGATCCACGATATTTATTGAAACAGGATCCAATCAGAAATTTCGAAGTTTCGGTTATTTCCATCCTTAAAAGCTAGAGCAAAAATATTCTTGATTATAAAGTATTCGGGGGTGTCACAGAAATTATTTCCAACCGAAATCCGTTAAAGTTCTTACGTGCATCAATGCAAAATCCAACCGTCTTCGGTTGGAAGAGATTTCTGTGACACCCCTGATTGTAATAGTAAACCAATAGTAAATAGTAAATGGTTACGGTTAGCCACAAAAAATTATTATGGTGCCATGAAAATGAAATTAGTCAGATTTTTCCATAACCCATTTAATTAAATAGTTTGTGCTTAATAAATTGAATTTATTTCCTTAGTTAGTCGTGGCTTTTTTACAGTTCACAGCAACTAAAAAGTTTTTTATTGTAATAAATTCAGCGCGTAATAAATTATAACTCAGCAGAAAGCTAACACCGAATTAATTTATATTTAATTCCCCACGAATAATGCTTGCAGCTCAACGCAGTACAAGGGCTTAGCAGCAGCGATCTGCAAATATCGTAGTTTATATCCGTCGGAATAAACTTTATTGTAGCATACTTTTCGTAGCAAATACTCACGTATTGCAGCGGAGAAAGTTTTTATCGCGAACTCATACACACAGGTGTGTAGTATGCCAGGTAGCAACCGCAAGTCATAAATTTCGCCAGCTATTTCGCTTTTGTTATAGTGCTTTTTTATGTATTTATGCCGGTATTCTAGCATGACCCCATAAATTATAGAGCGCTGCAATTTCGTTTAGCCGTTTTTGCACTGTTCGAAATTAGTTTTACGCCTCTTTTTGATTTAGTTCATATTGAGGTTTAGTGCTAGCTCAACATAAAAATCAAAATAAAGGATTGACGGTGCAGTTTGTGAGCCAACTTCACCAGTGGCATGGGGGATGCACTCAATTTCAGTTTATTTTCCCTTCAGCTTATCTTTTGCCCTGGTTGCCTTGGCCATTGAGTTCGTTTACCTGACAGCGTAGTCATGCCAATCGTTTGTTTAAGGATGTTCCACAGAAGACTCTTTTGAATTCAGTTGCATTTTGAGGCAAAAAGTTATGTTGCAAATTGAAAACTCATAATGAAATCTTAATAAACTTTTGACATTGCTTATTAAAAGACGACAAAGATAGATGCAAAATGAAGACATAAACAGTCATCCTCAAATGTAATAAATTCGAAAGCAATTAAAATGTCTTTCCAATTACTTTCATTTTATGTATTTCTTTAAAAGCTCTTAATTCAGCTTAAATTAGTTTTTATTAATATTGAGCTAACTGGAAGTCCATAAAAAATACTTTCTATAAGTTAAGTTAGGAATTTTTCTATATTAAATCTTGGGTACATAGAAAGTCGCTTAATTAAAGATAATTTTTGTTATATAGCAATTCCTGCGAAATTCCTTTCGAGAACATTGAGAGACGTTATCCTGTGTTTACTCTGTCTACCTGTAGCCAATTTCGAGTTGCTCTTATCTGACTGGACTGCTGCTGGCAGTTGGTCAGCAGAATGGGATGGAGCATGTACTTCTCTGGCTAGTTGAATGGGTGGGTGGCTGGTGAGTCCTGTCTGTGTTTCAGGTCCTGGCCCTTCCCGAATTGTCTGCCCCGTCGGCTGCCTGCCACTGACATTTGCCAAATCAAATAGAAATTTTAATTGACTCTTGGCTGGCAGGACGTGCCAACGCTTTAGTTTCCAACTTCTTTTATTTTTTCGGAGAGGTCCCTTAAATTCAATCGGTCTTTAACGCAGCCCTATTACTTGAGCCTTAAAGCTCTTTGTCCTAGCTATCTGCTCTGCTTTCGAGCCACCCGACCTCTGCCCTGAATCTCCGCTTGTTTTTCCATCAACAGGAAAACGGGTTAAGCGCCTTTTGGGCTCGAAGGGAAATTTGCATCTGTCGCTGTTGCGAATTATGTGGGCGCACACGGAAAGCAGAAAGTTTCGGATTCAGATCCAGTTCAGCTTTACTCCTCCCATCCTCTGCCCTCTCTGTTTGTCAACAACTTTGCGCGCATTTCTCACCCAGTACTGTAATGGGTATATTTGCAGGGAAACATCTATTCTATGTGTTCATTGGATACTTCGATTTTTATATTATTCCTATATTTTCAAGAAAGAATTTCAAGCTCTAAATACATTGGTAATATTTTGTAAAAAAAAAAAAAAAAATGTTACAATTCAGAAACTTAAAAAAAAGCCTTAAAACGCAAAGTGAAATTGAATATCACTATGGACGGCAGTCCATGTAGTGACGAAGCGCACCAGGAGAGTGTGCGAAGGCGACTACTATATATACACGAAGAAATGAAAATCTACTGTGATGGTCCGATCATAATGAATGATACACCTATCGAAAGGTATAGCGAAAACTAACAGGATTGCATACCAAGACTTTAAGAAAATCAATTGGCTTGGGAGAGAGAGCGGTGAAAGTAAAAAAGTGAAAATTTCGAAATTTGGAGCTGTTGGGGCCGGTGGGGATAAATGCCCCCTCGCAATGTTTTATTTGTATTCCTTTTGAAAATACCCGTCGAATGAGGGGTCATATGTCAAAATCCGACGCTCCGTTCAAAAGTTATAGCCAAAATAAGATTTTCTTCGTCTTCCCAAAATGAAAATTTCATTCTGTTTGTCAGTTTGTCAGTTTGTCAGTTTGTCCAAAACATGTTTTTTAAGTTTTGAAAATTTGATATGACGTTCATCACATCGATATAAAAAACTTTTGTTCCACCACTTTTGGAAAAACTCGCTAGTTTAGCGGGAAAACAGCTATAAATAGCTAAAATTCGGAATTCCGTAACTTATATACTACTAAAGCTACAGACTTGTGCTGCATCTCGTTTGAAAGGTATTTTTAAATGCTATAAACGCCCTTCATATGCAATTTATAATTTATATGCAATTTATAAATGTAATAGTTAAAAAGAAAGTCTATTTAATGACGAGTGTAATAATTTTTCGTCACAAATGTTGATATCAGAACTTTTGTATGTTGAAGGCGCGATCGTCACTAGTTTTTTACCTCGTTAAGAGGTGTTTTTATTTGATATGATTTACCTTGATTTTAATATGTATCGCGTTAAAAGTTTTTGTAGTTAATTGAAACATGTTATCGATAGATTTTTCAGTGTAATAAGTAGAACATCTAAACAAATAGGATATAGGCTGATAATATCGCATTTTATTATCATGACCAATAAAGCACACTGAACACCAGGTATCTTAATGTCGTGACCCTTTATAAAACTTTCCATCTTGTTTTTTTACTCATGTTTTTGTTTGCTTTTTGGGTCAAAAAGATGTGTGTTTGTGCGCGTTGGTTGTCTGTGTGTAACATAGTTTTTCACTTAATTAGCGCGCTGAATGACGCGTTGACAGTTGGCAGGAGTACGTGCCACGCCTGAGGGGTATGCAACACACAATTTTCCGTGATTGTTGCTGTCTCTTGTTGTTTGAGGGGAGCGGCGGCAGTTGTCAGCTGAGCAATGTGCCAGAGATTTCAGGGATTTTGTGCTGCCTGAACTTCCAGCTGCAACGAGGCTGCGCTCATAATTAAGGACTATTGGTGTTTATTACGGAATGGAAAGGTCAGATTGGTTTTGACATTTATAAAGAGGATTCTATTAAATGTTATTACATTTTCAGTATTATTTTACAATTTATTGAGTAATTGTAATTTATAAGTTACCGCACGTCCCTTAAATGAAGTATACACTATACCTACTATTTGGAATTTGGAACATTTCCCAAGGAATTTTGCATTCTTATCCACGGACACAAATGTGCTTAAAATGTTGCCAGATCTCAGTATAGGCAATATAATTTCCCCTCAAATTCAGGACAAACTTAACGATTGAATGTTTAACTTCCCTCCCAAAACCCTCGAGCATCCTTCACTCCGAATTGAGTCCATGAATAATCGTAAACATTTTCACTGCCAGAAGCCGACGAATTTCCGTTGTCAGCTCGTGCAATTTGCAGTTCACACATCACTTTTACTTCCGCCAACACCCCGTCTCAATGCCTTTCGCCAGCTTTTCATCTTCTTACGCCTTTAATGGATAACTTTGTGAAAATTTGCACAACGCCCTGGGAAGATTTTTTATTGATGTCACAACATTTTTGCAGTTACTTTTAATGAGCGGCTCCAAGGCAACGTTTAATAAAACATGAAAAGGATATTGAAGTGAGGAAATAACACTTAAAAAATGTTTGATACAAAAAAATTAAAATAAATATAATAAATTTTGATAAATTATGTAATAAGAAGTAGAAGGTGTGTAATTTTCCTCCTTTTTCTTCGTGTAATATAATTAAATTGTGCTAAACTGTGCTAAATTTATCGACATGCTGTTGAAAATGCATTTAATAATAGTCGCTTTCTCAGGCGTAAAAAACATGAAAAAGGTGACAAAGAGAATTGTGGGCGGTACAGATTTCCGCTTGGGCATGGTCAAAGGCAAACCGTAGGGCCCGGAGGAAACAGGAAGCCTGAGCTGCATCCTGTCGGCTTTTCCCCCGCTGCGGTGCCGGTCAGCATCTGGCCGTACATACACAAATATGGCGGCTT